AGAGATCGACCATTCACACCCACACCCACTTCTTCATGATCCACTCCCTGTATCTATTGTGTTTTGGTTGTATCCCCCCCATCACCCCGTTTCTCTCTAACCGCTTGCCCCTTTCAGAAGCGTCCCCCCTTTTATTTACAGTATCATCCCAAGAACGCCTCCAATTTACAAGTGATCTTGCATGAATAGCGCTTTAACTTTATATCTGTATATATAATAGAGCTGCTTCTTGTATTTGTGCCAAACCGTCACTTCTGCGTGGTGCTGCTTCCTTATTTACGAATCTGTTGGTGTGTCGAACCGTCACTTACAGGAAGGAACAAAATGATCAGCACACGATGTCCTGCTAGCTATACATGCGCACATATGTTTTCTGAATCCATGCATTTTGTATCCTTGTTTACTGTCTGTCAAGAAGTCTGAAGGGGACTGTTGTTCCTACCAAACCAGACTGACTCATTGATTGATTAACGCGTGTGTATTTGTGTGTGTTTAGGATCATCCATGAGGACGGTTTCTCTGGCGATGACGTAAAGCAGTACAAGCCTGTCGTTTACAGCAACACCATCCAATCTCTGGCTGCCATCGTCCGTGCCATGGATACACTGGGCCTGGAATATGGAGACAAAGAACGGAAGGTCAGCACTCGTCCCCCCCTCAGTCTCTCACACACACTTTCTTCAAACTCCGTACACATATAACGCAACAACGCTTTAACTTAATTTTTCTCATACTTTCACCAAATCTGTGTATCATGGCGTACAGCCAGTGATATGCAGCGCAAAAGCCAGACCCTCACCGATACAAAATGTCCCAAGATGGTTTATATTCTCAAGTCAAAAGCTGTGAATTCTACTAAATGACGATATCAACCAACATGAACCATTTAGCTAATTCTCTATATGCTGAGCTTCCTGTCCTGAATACTGCAAGTAGCCACTGGAATAATCCCATGAGAACTGATGTAGTTCATGGAGAGGGCACAGTGTGCCTTACATAGAGCTACTGTCTTTCAACCAAAGTACCAGGAGTCCAGCTCTTGTGTCAGAGTCGATCCAGTGCCACTCTGCAGCACACCGCTCTCTGCCAGCTTCAGCTCCTTGCTCCAACCTTCTCTGTTGGGGATGGGCACATATCGCCTGCACCTTCCTTGGTCCTTGTAATTGTAGTGCATCTATTAAGGACAATACTGTTGTTACATTGCACATTAGCGGGGCCGTGTGCGCAGTGATTTAGTGCATGGTAAATGTCCATTATGACTGCAATGCACCGTTAGTAAAATGTGTAGTTGCTGTCCCAGCTTCATATAGCCAGTGTTACAACATGTTGTTTTGGAGAGCAGAAGTGGGGTCAATTAGGTACCTCAGTGACTTGATAGATAATTAAAGTCCTTCCGTTGCCGCAGTAGAGAAACGCGGATGCCACACACTCCCACGGACTTTGCCAAAGGCCCACAGGCAGGACGTGATCCAAAGACTATGGCAGATGTGAGCTGCAATTTATACTTTTTGGTCTGGTTTAAGGTTGAAGTTGTCTATTGAGCAATGCAGCTGATCATGTCTCTGCAGCATAGCACATATCAAGCTCTCAGCTGGAGGTGGACGAGCAGAGGTAAAAACCTATCGTGTTTGTTTTTTGTTTGGGTATCATCCTTCTGAAGTGTGCCTTTGTTTCTCCGTTTAAAACAACAATCCAAAGCAGTACATATTCATTGTTGGGACATGCTTTATTGTGCAGGATATTAGAAGAAATGCAATTATAATTTTTATAATTAGAAAAAGGATTAGGTTAGGAAAAGGAAGTAATTAGCATCATATATTCACTCATTTTGGACGGACAGCTATGGTGAAACATTGAATCTTATTCACGGAGGAGCATCAGTACTCAATACAGTGTGGTGGAAGGGGGTTATTTTGGAGATACAAGGATCGTGAAATTACAGGGGCTGCTTTATTCCAACCTGTCTTGGTTTTGGTCAAAAATCTCAGGATTCCAGCCATTAGAGGTATCAAGTTTTGAAATAGCTTGCGGAAAACGACCCAAGTCTGCAATGGTGTACTCAAAATCCGTACCTGACCTGTGCAATTGAATGTATGCAGTACACCAGACACAAGCCAATATATCGGCTCCTAAATCCAATGCTGGTGAGACAACTGTTGGATACCAGAGCTTTCCACCACAATGTGAAACAGTGCCTTTAAAAGCTCATTTACCTGCATGCTTTCAAGGCTGCTGAATGTGCAGTGATAGCTAGCAGGGACGCGGTAGACAATGATGTGTTGCAGATGATAATGAGGATTAACTGCTAAATGGTGGTGTGAATAATAATGTCTGACTAATATTGCTTTATTCAATACGTTTTTGACTTCGTAAGATGACCGTTTAGTTCAAACTCCTTGTTTGTCTTTGTTGGCAAGTTTTCTTAAATATGGAGAGTGAAATATGCTTAAAAGTGTCCCTCCGCCCCTCCCACACACACATATACGCACATAAACATGTGTCATTGGCCTTAACCTTATCCAAATGAACCGCATATTTTTAATCATAATGAAGTTTTTGATGCGCTTAATACCCTGCTGAAATGACAATACACCTATTGATTAGCGTATGATATCTATGTGTGTTTGTGCGTGTGTTATATTTTGATACGGTCTGGTAAGAGGTGATGGGAAGGTCTTATTGTTTCATTTAGGGCAAAAGTACAAGGACAACTTCCTCCTCCACACTGACCTTTACAACCTTTGCAGAAAATACTTTGGCCAACAATCCTTTAGCCAGTGTAATCAGTCAAATCTAAATCTTCTTTTTATCTTCTTGTTGTCATCTATCGTTATTAGTTTAATACCTTAAGATTAAAATGATTAGAATATAATGATTGTATTTTTATTGAAATATTTATTTTGATGCGATTTTCTTGGCATTATTATTTTCAATACTGTATAATAATAATAATAATGTGCTGTGGTCATAATGATGGTGCTTGTACAGAGGTTAAAATCCCCATAATCAAGCCAATGACGTTACTGTTAATGCTTCGTGCCATGCTGTCAACAGACACGCTGGCCACTTTCTCTGAGCTGCATGTATTGGAGAAATTCACATGAAAGATCCGACAAATTTTGAACTTTGTCTTCTTTGTCGATGAGCTGTTTTGTGTGTCTCGCTGAAATTACTGTCTGTGTACCGACCGAAAATATGAAAGTTACTATTCGCTGGAATAGTGTCAACATGTTTCAAGAGATGTCAGAGGATGATAAAAGGAGAGTATGTGACATATTGTAGTTTCAAAAGCTAACAAGTGTGAGAGTGGAAAGAGGAAGGAGCAGAGATTATTTAATAGAGAATGAGAGAATTTGACAGTGGACAAGAAACAGAGACCAGACTAGGCTGCCCCTCAAAGTAACCAGAGGAGATATTCATCTTACATCTATAAATGTCGAGTAGAGCTCCAAAATGGGACAGTGTCCTAAGAAATATACATATGTGTACAATACATGTTTAGAGCCTTTGCGATCAGCTGTGTGTGATGCTGATGGTGAATGTCAAATGTGTTTACATTTTTTAATTCCCACTCATTTCACACCTTTTGTGCTATTTGGACTCCCTTTGACTCCTCCTGTTTTGTCCCCCCCCAATCTTTCATTCTTAAAGTACAATGTATTGGTCACAAAAATACAATTTCACCTGGTCTACAAACTATTTTTCATTGCTTTTCCTCACCCTGTCTTCTGATAACACCCCCGACATCTGTGTCCCCAGCCTTGGCAAGTTGCTGTGGCAACTCGGTGTTTTGCCTTGCTCTCAACACATTCCACAAGCGCATGTCCAAGGGCGCTGTGACAAACGCACACACACATGCACTCGCACAATGATAGCCGAGTGGGCTTTAAATAGATTTGTTGTCACTGCTGTATGAATCTGCAAGTAGTTTTCACTCGCGTCCAAAGACGAAGCTGCTGCCACTGATATTTTGAATAGCTGTCAAACCTCCATGATCCTAATGAAAATGAAATAGAGAAATTTGGGATTTACCGTTTTTGGACCACACCCATTTCTTTCATTTTGATCTACATTACACACCTGGAACATTTTGTCACAGGATCTTGCACGGTTGTGATGTTATCGTGGTAGTTTCTGCTATAATAGGTGTCTGAAGGACCCTATTTTGCCATTAAGACACTTTTCCATGTCCCACTGAAATTCTTGCCGTGAGAAGTACGGGCGGTATTGTAAGCTGTGGAGTTGTCATTGTCATTTTAGAATTGTACTATATGCCACAGTCTGTTAAAACAATATTGATTCAATACAGATATGTTGCATAGTGACAAACAGCGACACTACTGCTGATATTGACATTATCATTCCAAATTAGTAAATTGTCAAAGCACAGCTTTCTAAATTTTCTTTTTTTTACCTCAACTTCAGCCTACAGCAATAGCATGGAATTAATTTTTCCTTGTGAGCGTGCGCCAGTATGTACGTTACTGCTGCTTAGGCCTTAGGCGCCATTTTCTATCCACTGGTTCAATGCTTCCGCACAATTCTTCCGCACATTATGTGTGTGCATGCATTATTATTTGTTCAGGGTTGCTAGACCGGCTTATAGAATACCAGACAGTCAAAGGCTCATGCTGCCAGGGGTAAGCATACACACACTCTTACTGAAAGCCTTGTTTTACATGCCAACCTTATTGTTGGTCCGATCCGTCATGTCTCGTGTCGCTATTAGTTTCTGTAGCATCCAATACACACCTTCAGTACTGATGAAGCGAAGGAAATTAAGGACGCAGCTGTTAGACTGCAGCAGGCACGTACGCATCTGACATCAGAAAAACACTTTGTGTCTCGATGGACCCTTGAAGGCGATGGAGGGAGGAAGACGAGAGGGAGATGGAATGAACAGAGGGATGAGATGAAGGTATAGACTGAACGAGAGAGAGGGAGGAAACTGGCAGACAGGTTGCTGCTTGTTGTTGTGGAAACAAGCTAGTTATCCTCATGGGTTTGTCCAAATGTGTGTTAGCTGTAATATGTGGGTATGTGAACAACGCCCCTCTGATGATAATGTTCCCTCTGCTCATTAAAGAATAACACAACGTGCACACAATGGCCACACTTTAATGGAGTCTAAAGTGAAGGTAAGTACGAGGTCTCCCATGTATTTTTTTTTTTTTCAAAGTGTTGTATCCACACTTTTTAACGAGCACACCGTGCAACCGTTCAAGAACTTTTTTCGTGTGTTTAAAATGTTAAAGTGCTTTTGGCCAATACACTGACTGTGCAAATAATAAACATTTAGCAACAGTGTTTACACCCAAAGAACACTACTTGAGATATTCTAAATATTTTGTCTTTACCGTCAACAAATCCCATGAATGATTAATGGGTCAATTATTGAAAATGCTCTTATTGATGCTGATAATGGCATCTACAAAATCATAGATTTAGAGATTCTGAGATTGGGAAAGATACATTTTTGCATACATTCAAATGTGTGCAGAATTCAGGATTTCATTCTAACATGCGTTTGCAGATGAGATTATTCGGTATTGTAAGTGATGACAAATTATTTGCAGCATTGGATTTTATTTTTTAGATTTCCCAGAAGGCAAGCAGCCTACTAATGTTGTTTTAAAGC